GTGTGTAAGTGTGTGTGTGTGTGTGTGTGTGTGTGTGTGTGCAACAAACCTATGCATCATGTAGTTAATCGGCCCTACTAACGTGTACATATATCTTTTGCAAGCATACAAAAGCACTAATATGCATCGTTTGCTAACATTACAATTTAGATCCTCCAGACCTGGTCTAATACACAAGAGGATACAATGTTGTACAGAACCCACTTGTAGATCCCGATGGGCGAATTATAAGCTTTGTATCATTTGTCCACTGCTTTCACCTTGAACCAAGCCCCATCTCTTGGGCCTAGTGTGAGCGTAACTTTAAAATCCATATCATGGTACTCAGATGGTTTTAACACGAACTTCGTTAGAATAGTCGCTGCAACCATCCTGAGCTCCGACTGTGCCAGTTTCATACCAGGGCACATCCTGCCCCCAGCTCCAAATGGATTAAAGACATAATTTGCGACCACCCGCGAACGCATACTCTCATCCGCCCAGCGTTCTGGCCTGAATTGCATGGGATCTTCCACTTCGTCTGTGAAATTCCATTCTTTTGCATTCGACCCCATAACTTTGGTTTGGAAGGTAAACGAACTCTCTGCGGGAATCTCATACCCGTCAACAGTGACCGGCACTGTGGAGGTCCTCCCGAACGCAAAGGCTACTGGATACAGGCGTTGACTCTCCTTAATACACCAGTCCAAATACGGTACATCAACTTGCAGAGACTCTACATCTGCTCCCCCTTGCTTCCAGGCTGTAAACTGGTTTCGAAGTTCGGTCTGTGCGTGTGGGTGCCTGCTGATCAACTGCAGGCACGTGCTGAGTGTGGCTGTGGTGGTGTCGAACGCTGCAAAGAGGAGCATCCCCAGGTTGTCTTCTACGTCCCCTGTTTCCATTTTCTCTTCCATCGAGGCCAGAATCATTTGGTCTACGAGGTTATCTCTCGCACACCCTATATCAGCAGAGATCTCAGCCATTCGACTAGACACTATACCACGCACAAAATGCATTATTTCCGCATGAGCACGACTGACTCGGCGATTGAAAGCCGTGGGTAAATACCAAAACAGTTTCGAGGGCTGAAAAGATCGGACGTTCAAAGCTTCCGCGATAGTTTTGGTATTATTATACAAGCGTATACGTGTGCTCTCATCTGTGACACTTGCATCCACTCCGTAGCCGAACCTTAGAAAGGCCTCGAACAGCCCAAACCCAAGAGCATTCTCAATGTTCACCGACATATCGCGTAGATCCACAAACCCCTCTACAACCTCAGCATCGCCGGCGGCAAATTGCTCTCTAGCAGCCTTCTCGAGAAACGGATCGACTCGCAATCGCATCGAGCTCGTCACTTCGGGCAGCCATTTGTACGCTCGCATGCGGGTAATTGCAGAGTGCACCACACGTCGCCCTAGCTTCCACTTGTCACCTTCTACGCATATGAGACAATTGGGAAAGAAATGGCCGAACGTACACTGGAACTTTCTTGATAGTGTGAAATTCTTCCTCTGCTCGTGTACTATATTACGCACCAGTGAGGGATCTGCGATCGCGTATAGATACATAGAACCCAATTTGTACCGCACGAACGGGCCGTATTGTTTATGGCAGTCACTGAAGTACTCGTGTATACGATCCGGAACGAAATCGAAAATATTGCCAATCAACCAGCGACCAGGTGGCCCAGGTACTTTCTTCTTCGGATGGGTTGCAAATACGTGCTGGTAGATGTGCTGCAAGGCAACCAACCCACATAGAGTCAAGGCTGCACTATAGAAGAAAGTCATGGTTAAACCAAGAGACTTTGATAAGTGTTTTATATAAGCACTTTCTCGTGTATGCTACCCTGATTATAAAATAGGTCTATTATATATACGCGGCTTGTATTAAGCTATACCTCCTCGACTTCATTGTCTTTTTAGAATGCTATGACTTCATACCTTTTGCACAGTCTTTTGACTTCACTCATCAGCTATCATTTTGTTAGCACAAAAGATCCACCTTTAAATCTAGTAGGGTTTTTAGGGTTGAACGGGATATACACGTTACATAACCTCCAATCCTCTTACTAAAACAAATTTTGTTCACGTCACATATATATATAAATAAACACACACTTTAGAGATAAACAGACTCAGCATGTATTTAGGGGCATTCGACATGTAGTCGCAGTCCTTTGTACCGAGTTGTTGTGAGTATGTCGGACAGAACTGCTACTGGGAAACTAAAGGGCCATAGCAAAAATGGTTTGCGGCGCGAAGAAGGCTCGGGCGGCCCTAGAGTTAGGTCAGAAGAAGCGCCGAGCGAGTCAAAAGAAAAAAGGTTGCATCAAGACGGAACACGCGGAAGAAGGGATCAGGTCGACAAAGGGTGTGAAGATAGTTGAAAAAAGTGCTAAAGACCAAACAAGCATCACGCGTTATCAGCCTACAACTAACACACCGAGTAAACAAGCTGCTTGCATACGTAACCCCGGAACGATAAGATGCAAGTGGAGGTACTGCCGCCACGGCGGCAATTGTTAATGATGTCACCATCAATACACAGCAAGTTGATCAGCTTACATTAGTTCTAGAGTTTACAATCAGCGCAAAGTGCTCGTATTTATCAATTGTATTATTGAACATACAAGATCAACAGTCAAAAATATCTGAAATTCTGACCAAGACCTTGTAGATCGCGAAATTACCATATATATATATATATATATATATATATGCAGATATAATAAAATAATATATATATATATATACGTATGTATATTATTCTTCTA